CCAGCTTCCACCCCAGCTTCCACCCCAGCTTCCACCCCAGCATCCACCCCAGCTTCCACCCCAGCTTCCACCCCAGCTTCCACCCCAGCTTCCACCCCAGCTTCCACCTGTAGGCTCGGGGGGTAGTTATCTAATCATCACTCAATGTTCTTTGTAAATCTGTGGAGTGATGAGGCCCGAGCCTAGACGCCAAACTCAAAGTATATGCTGCTTCTAATAAACATATTAAGAAACACGTGAGTTGTCTGACTGAAATATGTTTAAAAAGTGTGTATGTAACACATGTAATATTTGTATATGAATAACTGTTTTGGTGTTTATCAGTACTTAAATATAGCTCTTAGTTTAAGAGTCCTCCTTTCATTATATTTTGTTGTTTGTTTAAACTAACACCCATTTGACCTTTTGTTTTTTGTTTATTAGACAACTGCTGTGTGTATGGCTTTTCATTTAAAGACCTTTCATTTTACATTAGGTTTTGTGTTGCTTCCCTTTAAACGAGCTGGGACGAAACACCTGTAGTGAATAGTGGTCGATTCATTTAATCGTTGACAAATAATCAACATTATGGAAATTAAATGTAAAATATGCTGTTGATAGAAAACATGGCACATGGCACACACCCACACCCACACACACACACACACACACACACACACACACACACACACACACACACACACACACACACACACACACACACACACACACACACACCTTTTCTACCCATCTCCGCTGCTTCTGAACTGAAACTGTACTTTAAACATCATTTTCTCATTTGCACTAAAGAATACTTGCATTAATGTCCATTCATGTTCTGTGGAGTGTGTTTTTTTTAAATATATTGTTAACTAGTACTTATTACTACTATTACTTAGTCTTATACTCCGTTTATCTCGGCCCTTTTTGTATCTTGTTTTATGTATATACTGTGGGACTGAGAGAAACAGTATTCAAGATTTCTGTGTGTATAACACATGGAGACATTTTGACAATAACAAGCTGACTTTGACTAAAACAGAACTAAAAAGTTAAATATACAAATCTGTAGACTGTGTGACGAATAAACACTATGAAGGATATCATATATGCATGCACACGTAGACAATACATACAGTTGAATATAGAAACCTGACCTTCGTTAAACATCGGTCACCATATCACATATTCACGACAAAGTATTACATGAATAAAAACATACTTCACATACTGGGTGAGAATGTCAAATTGAGGCCATCTTCGTGCAGTTTAATGAGGATTTATTCCAGTTTTGTTTCTGATTATCCGTCCGATTTTTAAATTTCCCTCTTTCAAAACAATAGAAGTCATTTCCGCCTCCGGTGTTTCTTCTTCGGTGCTTTGAGTTTGCTTTGGTCAGCGTCCCCTAGTGGACGGTCGGTTAATAACAGGTGAATCATTTTGAGGTTTGGGGTTTTATGATATATTATGTGTTAATATTATGATTGTTAACACTTTAATTGAGTTTATCTTATCAGTAAGTATCAGTCCATAAATAATAACAAAGTATTTTATTTACAGACCTTTGAAGGCCAGTTTGGTCCGGCAGTGGCTCAGTCAGCAGGTAGGGGCTTGGACTGGGAGCCGTAGGGTTGCCGGTTCAAGTCCCCGAACAGACCTAAATATGGAGTGCTACTTGGAGAGGTCCCAGTTCACCTCCTGGGCCCTGCCGTGGTGCCCTTGAGCAAGGCACCGGACACCCCGCCACTCCAATTGCTGCCCACTGCTCCTAGTACTAGACTCCTGGTACTAGGAAGGGTTACATGCAGAGGCCAAATGTCACTGTGTGTGCTGTGTGCTCTGCATGTGTGACCATTAAAGAGGGGTTTCATCCCTCCTATTCTATTCTATTCTATTAAACTTATTCCACTGTTGTTCATGATGGGGAAAGTAAACATCAAAATAATTTGACCCACTTTTTTAATTAATAAACAATGATTTTGAAGCACTTTTTGTGCAGAGAATCAAGAATATTTTACATGAAACAAACATGAAGACATTTTATATAGCTTGAGGAAAATACAAAAATATGATTAGGCTATTTTAAGCCAGATATAAAGGAATGCATGATTTTAGGCAACGATGATTAGGTGGGATCAATAACTGTGGATTTTTGGAGGGATTTCAAAGGGTACATTTATGTCCACTTTTGTCTGTATTTTGGGTACACAACTTATTATAGAATGACTGTAGTAAAGAAACTGAGATTACACTTCCAAAACTCACTGGAAATTATTATATCTAAAATGTATCTAGGTTAGTGGTGGTCTAATCTTGGATAGTGAGGTGGGCTGAAGATCGGAAGGTTGCGAGTTCAAATCCCGACTGGAACACCACCACTAGTGTGCCCTTGAGTAAGGAACTTAGTCGCTTTGTATAAAGGCGTTAGCTAAGTGCAATGTAATGTAATGTAATGTATGCCTAAGCATCAACACAATAAAATTGATGCCAAAAATATCAAAAACTATGGTGTTGTCTATATATTTTTGGATTACCTCCTTATTGTTTACATCTTAAACTGTTTTATATTCGCAAAATATGCGGCACAACACATTCCCTCGGGGCTGAGCATACACATTTGTATTTAACTTATTTGATCTTAAAGTTGGTTTTAGACCAAAATGTCCACTCGTCTCTCTGTAGCTGTTGCCATGGAGACGGATCACAAACACACACACCACTGACGGTTGCAGCGTAAATAAAGTCCGACAACTTGATCCCTAAAGTAAGTTTACGTTATTAATTTAACCTATTTTATACAGGCTATGTGTTCTACACAAGGTGACGCTATTAAAGCCTGAACAACGTTTTGTCTTGGGTGTTAAATGTACGTCAAAAGGAGACGATAAAGACTGTTTTTACTTTAGCTCACCTTGGCTAAATTAGCATTGTTTTTAAGGCTAGGCTAGCTAATGCTAAAGGTAAGTACCAAAACAACAGTGGAGAAATACTCCGTTACATGTCCTGCATTCAAAATATAAGTATGTTACCTCCTTATGTCCCTTGAAATGTTGTGTTTTATGCTCCATGTGTGAAAACAGGTTTTAACATTTGACCTGAAGTGAATGTATTGTTCTCTGTTTTAATTTGTGATCTGTTCTATGTTGTTGTTGTTATTATTATTAGGATGAAAATGTAGGCTACTTAAACTACCAAAAGTAAAACAAAAAAACCTTATGCAGAAGGCCCATTGCAGAATATCACAAGTCATGTTATTGTATTATAATTGTGTATACATTCATGTGTTCATCACTTCAAGGTTGAGTCTTATGTATTATTGTTTGAAGAATGAATGACTCACTCACTGCCCCTGTTTCACACATAATCCCTTACTGCTGAACCCGAGGAGGAAGAGGAGGAAGAAGAGTAATCATGCCGAAGAAAGCCAAGAAAGGTGGAGCAGGTAAAGGTGGAGGAAAGACGGAGGAGGAGAGGCTGATGTTCCTGCAGCAGAGAGCTCAGGCTGAGGAGGAGATGAACCGGAAGAAGGAGGAGGTCCTCACCCTGTTTCTGAAGGCAACTCTCATTTATATTCCTATTTATAAATCACTCAATGTTCAGAGTTATTAGAATAATTAGAACTCACTTTAGTTCATAAACTCAAAAAGTGTAACGCAAAATGTAACTTTTTTTTTAGAACATTTTATTTATTCCACAAATATATAACATACGTGGAGATGTACATAAAAATCACACCCGCCTCAGTTTACAGTCCACTTGAATCTACACGTTATTGCTCACATCATGCATACATTACCCCTTTCCTTACAAGTCTTGGCAAGTTATACATGCAAAATGAAACTTTATTGAACTTCTACGTCAATATATGAATTTGTGATTAGTGTTTTTAGAGATTTAGAGATATTGTATACACCAAACATCTGTTTTTATAAGTTAGGTTTGTTTTTTATTGTAATATTCTGGTTAATTTAAAATGTAAAAATAATAATTTTCCTTTAAATGATGGTGTTACGTGGCACAAAGGGAAGTAGCAAAATATAAAATAACCGGGCGAGAGAAAAAGGAGAGGAAACTGATCTGTGAAGCCACAAGATGGTCTTTTAATTAACAAAATAAAAAAAGGCTCACCAGCCAATTTGCAAAACAAACTCAAAACAACTTTCTCATAAAAGAAAGTGACTTACTTCAAACAATACACAAGGATAAACTGGAGCACATCTCCTAACAATAAACAAAACACAGGTTAAACTAGGCCTCACACAGAGGCCTCACACAGAGACACTACTCAGAGACACCACGCCACGCCACGCCACACCACACCACGCCACACTACACTACACTACACTACACTACACTACACTACACCACACCACACCACACTACACTACACTACACTACACCACACTACACTACACTACACTACACTACACTACACCACACCACACCTGCTGCACACATGCAGCCAGAGGAGAAGGAGAGAGCGACTGCAGCCTTCCTCAGGTCCTTTATGGAGGCCCTGATTGGGGATTGGCTGCACCTGGAGGGAGGGGGAGACAGAGACAGACACACAGACACACAGACACACACACACACACACACACACACACACACACACACACACACACACACACACACACACACACACACACACACACACACACACACACACACACACCACACACACACACACACACACACACACACACACACACACACACACACACACACACACACACACACACACACACACACACACTGATGGTATTACACTTATTCCGTGTCTCAACGTTAAAGTGTTTGCTTTGTTCACACTGTTAAAAAATGCTAGAAAATGTTAATTTTAAGACATTTGAGAAGTTTGAAATGTTTTGAGTGTCATTTTTAAGCTGAAGCATTTAAACGTGGTATATTAAAAATATTGTCCTTTCAGATTAAAACCATTTTTGTTCACCCAACGTGCACAAAGCCAGAAAATATGCATTAAAAAAAACCAATAAATCCGTATTTCAGGGAGCAGCTCT